AGTGTTGGGTAGAACTGGTCTTGGAGTCACAGCAGGTTGTTTTAGCAGCCATTACATAAAACTGGTTTCAGGTTACAACAGGCAGTTTCAGCAGCCAGGCTTGCAGAGAACTACATTCTTGGAGCAATGTTGTATGCCCTGAGTGCTTTTTTCCCTTGGCCCCTTAACTCTGTTTAGTTGTAGACAACAAGAATGACCCCATTTGTATGATCAACTTTCTCAACGGGAAAATCACATATACATTGTTAATAATCAAGAGAAGGGGCATAGGAATTGTGGGTCTAGTTATCATTCATATTCCTCCTCCAAAACCGTACTGCTGAATCAAGGCCAGGGCTTCAGCATGGTTCCAGATCTACTCTTTTATATATTTCTAACAGATGGTGCCTTGAAACATGCACCAATCCCACCAAATCTAGGAATTCTTTCTTTTGTTGTTGTTTTAAAGACAGAATCTTGCTCTGTTGTCCAGGCTGGAATGCAGTAGTGCAATCATACCTCACTGCAGCCTTGAACTCATGGGCTGAAGCGATCTTCCTGCCTTAGACTCACACACCCCACTGCCATGCCCAGATGCCCAGTTAATATTTTTTAAATTTTTTGTAGAGACGATCTCTCACTTTTGCCCAGGTTGGCCTCAAATACCTAGCCTCAAGCAATTTTTCCACCTTGGCTTCCTAAAGTGCTGGGATTACAGGCGTGAGCCACTGCACCCGGCCATGATCCAAGAAATATTGAAAGCTTATGTGGGTAAAAGAAGAGCCATTTCCTTTTCCTGTGGCTGGGGCTACTGTCTTGCAGACAGCCTGGACAGGCTTTAGGGAATTCATGATGTACCTGAAATCACACAACACTGTGTGCAACTATGAACATACACAAATGTACATTCTACTGGGTTGATTGCAAAGTGGCAGAAATCAATGGACAAATGGCTCTGTGCCCAAGTAAAATGAAGAATCATAGATATAAGGAAAGCAGCTTAGCAAAGGGAGAAGACCCTGGACTTGGGGATACTAAGCCCCAGCTGTACATTTGCTATGCAAAGAACTTATCCGACACTCGGTTTCTTCATCTAGAAAATGAAGATGACACCTGCCTCACAGACTGATAGGGATTAAGTGACAAGCACATGGTGATGTAGAAATAAAGCTGACAAAACAAAAAGACCACAGTACTGTTTTTGAGTTCAGGGGAAAACATATGTTAGGAATTGCTTTAATAAAGAAAATTGAGGAAACAGAACATGATAATCATAAATTAAGGTATTTTCCTTTAAATATAGTTAGGTTTATGAAAAATTAAGCTTACTGTGCAACTATTTGTACCAAGTGATAAAAATATACATTCATTTTTTAGAGACAGAGTTTCACTATGTTGTCCAGGCTGGACTTGAACTCTGGGGCTCAAGCAATCCCCTTTACTCAGTCTTCTGAGTAGCTGGGATGACAGCTGCAAGCTATGATGTCCAGCTCAAATGTACAAATATTAAATCGTCATTTATTTTCACATTTAGTGTTTTTTTTCTGAGATAGAGTCTCACTCTGTTGCCGAGGCTAGAATGCCATGATGTCAGCCGAGCTCACAGCAATCTCTAACTCCTGGGCTCAAGCAATCCTCCTGCCTCAGCCTCCGAGTAGCTGGGACTACAGG